AATTCATTTGAATAATTCTCACTAAACCTGTCTCATCCACTTGTTTTCCCTTTGAGAGGCAATCACCCGTTGTCTGCTTGTAATTTATGACCATGGGCAAATCTGCTGTGGTTTTACAGGGTTGCATTAGAACACACTCTTGTTATTGTGAAGCATTATCGTAAATGGGGAAAAATACACTTTTTAATGGAAAAAGACAGGTGCTTTCCAAGGTGGCTCCTCAGCCCGTATGTGTTTCTGAGACACTAAAAGGAAGATGGATTATTTTGCACTGCTACTTATTCATTATCCAAATTATGCAAATAGTTTATCACAGTGAAATGTTTTTAAAAAGCTTTTGAACATCCCAGCGCAGCCTCTCCGCTGAATGAAGATGCATCATGTTTATTGTGGCTCTCTGAACAACTTTATTACCAGGTTAGTGAGCTTACAGAGCTGCATGTGGTTAGCCCTGTGACATAATAAAGCCTATAGCAACTGTTACACAGTGTAGTCTGACTGTAGTACTCGAGTCCAAGACCTGTCTCCAGATGTCATTTGTTGTTGTGTTTTTACATACAACAAGACAAAAACATAAAACAGTCTGAAAGGTGAAATTATAGGGTTGGTTTATTCCTATAATATTGACCATTCAGTAGCATCTGTGCTGCTGAAAATACAAACCCAGACGCAGGAACCCTACCCTCCACTGGGCCATCTCCCCTGTTAAAAATCTATGTGTTTATACACAATTGTTTTTATAAAATGGAAAAATACTATAAAAGGGTAACAGCCAGTGTAAGTGACACACATTTTTGTGTATATATTTTGTGTTGTCTTAAAGCTGCAGTCAGTAACGTTTATAAAAATAACTTTTTGTAATATTCACTGAAACTTTCCCTATATCCTGACAGTAGTACATGAGACAGATAATCTGTGAAACAATCAGGTTCCTCTGGTTCCTCCTAGTGCTCCTAATGGCACTTACAAGAATCCACCGGGCCTGAACGAAAACAACCAATCAGAGCAGAGAAAGATAGTTGTTGAGTCTCATTCCCAGGGCATCAAATACCAACACTGGGAATGACACTCAACTATCAACTATTCTTGTAAATGGCATCAGGAGCACTAGGAGGAGCCAGAGGAACCTGATTGTTTCACACATTATCTGTCTCATGTTCTACTGTCAGCATATAATTTCAGCAAATATAACAAAAACAACAACAACAAAAAAAAACCTACTGCAGCTTTAAAAGAGGAACAGTTTCTGTTGTTTTATTTATTTTATTCACATAGATTTTAATGTAGACATCCCACAGAGGTCACACGTACATACAAACACAATATCCCTCTATGTGTGCTGTAACTGGTCTAATGTATTAAACATTAGCATGTTAACATGCTTACATTAGCATTTTTGCATGTTACTGTTGGCAGTAAGCTCACTGTAAACAGAGGATAACAGGGACATTACATTGGCTGACATTACACATCTACAGTCCTACATGTTACATGTTTGTATGTTAACACGCCAACGTCTGCCTTTCCAACATCCAAACCCGGGCGCATCAAGCAGGTTCAACAAGCATGCCCACTTAATGTAATGACTGGGCAGGTGTGCACTGCTTACTACTCTTGTCACTTTTTGTTTGTACAACTGAGCGTAGCACCATGGAGGCCTTCGAGGAGGGATTGTTGGAAAGTGTGCACTGTTATCTCCATTTGCTTGTCCAATATGCAAGTTATTGTTTTCCCTGAGTGTCCTTGAAGGTACCATCAGGTTTGGACTGCCTGGGTCCTATAGGATAAAAACCCTGGCCCAGCTTTGCTCTTCCTCTCTCCCTCTCCCAGCAGCAGCATGATCTCAGCTTTTGTTTGATTTCCACACACACACATTTACACTACTGATGTTACCGACTGACACACTCTATATTTGGAGTTATCTCAGTTGTTTAATTTACTTAATAAATTCATTAATTTATCGCCATCTACTGTGTCCTCCTCCGTATTTGTCATGGCCTAGGAGCCGGGTTACGACATACAATTCATCCAGCCACGCCCCTCTCTGTGACAGCAGGCTTTTCACTTCCCTGTGTTTTTACTGCATTTTACCTTATTTATTCTAGTGGTTATTTATTTTTATTGTTTTTTATTAATCTATTTTTGTGAGTCCTGAATTTTAGAGCCTGCAGCACTTTTATCTTTATCCTTAATCATTTATCATGTTTGTATCATCTGTATTTTTGTCAAGAGGAATGCCTTGTCTTCTGCTGCAAACCAAATCTACGTGTGGGTTCAAATAAAGTAACCTTGACAGTGCAGCAATTCTGTCCAACCAATCAAAAGTCAGTCCTGGTCCAGTATGCAACTGGTGTGATCCACCAGTGCACACCCACTGAGAATGGGCTTTACAGTGAAGTAGAAAACTTTAGAAATCAACAACATTTGGATATTCAGAGATTCTGGAAGCTTCACTGAGGTAGAAGGAGGAGATTTTAAGGTGGAATTTTTTCCCTCCCAGTGAAATCTGAAATGATCTGCAAATTCAAGACTGGCTAACATTGAGCTTAGGTTCCATCAAAAAGTTATCAACCAAGACATTCATGGGAAATATCAGCTTCCTGTGGCCGCCGACTGTTTCCATTCTGCTCACACACTCCTCTCTGACAGAGACGGGCAGAAGGAATACACATCAGAGTGCAGACACTAAAAAACAGTTAACGTTGGCACAAAAGACTGGAGGTTAAACTGTCACACATGACTGCTTTCACTTCAGGGAATCTTAGCTGTTATTAGGGGCAGAGGTCTGAGCGTGATCAGGAGGGTGTTAGCACCACCATGTGGCCAAACTGGGAAATTACATGTAAGCAGTTAGTCCAGTGACTACAGGTCATCTGTTTCCAGATAATGTAACTAATGGCAGTTATTATGGATTATATGATGCTTTGTCAAATCAAATGTAGAAATGCACAAAAGGAAAAGATGAGTTTCTAGATCATTTAATTAATATACTTTTATGATGTATATTTCGGTTTATTTTTGTCTTTTTATCATTAAAATTATTTTATCATGAAAATGATTTCATCATAATAATTTATTATTATTCAATTATTTCTCTGTATTTCAGATTTCTTTGCCACCTTTTTTGGTACTGTATGGCTGACAGGGATGGGGGTATTGTGCGTTCTGTTGTTCTTTGTTGTAACTCAATAAAAGGTTTTTTTTAAAATGTAGAAATGTAAACAAATGTACTCATTCACTTTATATTGTTTGCTAAACTTTGCATTCATTAAATTCCTCTAAGCTGCATTAGAATATGGTGTATTGCGATTAGTGTTTTAAATGGCTAAATTACTTAAATAAATAATGTAAACATTAGTTAAAAGATAGCTTTTTAGCATACTGTAATAAAAATTGTTCTACAGAAATCCTGCTTTATTTTTATTTTATTATGTGAGTTAAAGAAAATATCCTGCATTGCTGATCACCTCACTTTATTATACGGACTATCAGGGTGTCCTATAGTAGTATTTCTATAGCCCAATATCACATTTTCCTCAGGGGGCTTTACAGTCTGTACCATCCACACTCTTCACATATCATTTATAATCTTCATATATCAGAAATTGTGTCATCAACCTTTATATACAATGAGATTTTGTTGGTTTGTTCTGTACACTCTATTGGATGTCTGTCTGTCCTGGGAGAAGGACCCCTCCTCTGTGGTTCAGTGTAATTTTACCAGTTATGTTTTTGTTGTGGGGGAGTTTTCCCGACCTGAATCGAGGGTCTAAGGACGGAGAGTGCTGAATGTTGTACAGATTGTAAAGCCCCCAGAGGTAAAGTGTGATTTGTGATTTTGGGTTACAGAAATAAAATTTGACTTGATTTGTACAACATACAACAAAAAAACCTTTAATGAGAAAACAAAAGGAAGAAATCTCGTACATTTACAATGTGGCAAACAGAATGGCAATATCAGGCGAATAAAGTGCAAATATGAAGAATGTGAATCAGAGAAGACTGTTAGCAACCTCCAGGAGCCCCTAAGGACTGGTAGGACCTGGACCATCAAAAAGACCTGGAAACAAACAGGCTACACACACACAAACACGGGGCACAACTCAGGGACACCATTTATACACAGTAAGAGACAAGAGGATCAAACAACACATAATGTGAGGACAGGAGTGAACAATGATAAGACAAACTGAGTGGCTTGGTGGACAAGAAGATACAAAGCACCAAACGGACTCAGACCAACATAAAGTCCTGGTTAAAGGATGCAGTCCAAATGAGAGAAAAGACAGAGAGAAAGGCACACAGCCTGGACACTCCGACTGAGCCAGTGTTTATCAGGACGTTGCTGTAGTCAGCAGGACTAAGTTCATAGATAAGTTCATTTAAGTAAAACAATTAGTTGGAACAGATTACATCGAGCATTTTAAGGAAAACCAACTTCTATAAGTTAAAAAAAGGTTCTTGATGTAGCAGCTTTTATTAGTCATTTTAGGTTTTTAAGCTTTTGACTGTGTATTTTGTTTTCACAGTACAAACAAAAATTACAAAATTAAGTCAATGTCACTTAAAACTACTAAAGCTACTTGATCAAGAATGTTCTTTAACTTACAACATTTTGTTTGTTTTACTTACAATTTTTGATGGAATCAGTTAAATTAACTTATCTGGTTTTACAGTGCAATCCAATGGAAGGACAGTGGTAACAGGTTTGGAGCAGTGTAGCCATGATAACTTATTGAAGGCAAAACGATGAGTTTTAAGTTTAAATGGCTCAGCAGACTGATGGTTCCTTGGAAAGGGGACACAATAGGACAAAGCTCTGCCGCCTTCTGTACAGACTTCTATTAAACCTAATTAAATTGTTTACTGGCTTTTATATTTGCACATTATTTGTATCCTCATCTAATGTACTAATCCTGAATATCCTTTTTTCTGTTGTCCTCTGACAGACGTTGAACTTAATCCACTTTTACAAATAAAAACCAAGAATCCTCAAAAGATCATAGTAAATATAAACCATTTAATTATGTTCTGCATAAAAGATAATTATGTTAAAATACAGTAGATTATAGAAACACTGCCATGGTTATAATGTACAATTAACAAGATTTTGTTCACAACACTAAAAACATACAAAATCATCAGAAATTCAACCACATCAGTGTGTGTCAAAAGCATCTGATTGAGCGCGGCATCACTTTATCGTTGGCGGTCAGAAATAACATGGCCACAGATCTGAGAGCAGCTCTGCAGCTTTCAACAAAAAAAACATGTGAAAAGGAGGGATTGAGTCCAGTGTCAGTGTTCAGTCATTGAGCCATTATAGTGGAAGACAAACAAACCAATGCATTCAACTACATGTTCCCAATTATGAGAGCAGATAGGGATGAGAGCACTGCAGATTTGTAGGTGAGGTGATACGATGTAGCTACCAGGGGCAGACTACATGACTTGGAGGCCCAGAAAAAAAAAACAAGTCTTGGTTGGCATGTATAAAAGGAGAAAAACTCATTCTGTGTGCACTCTAAATAATCAGTTTTGCCCTCAAATGACCTAATTTGTCAATCTTTAACATATTTTTTAAGATCCCGTCCAGACATATATTAAGACATAAATTGTGTGCTTGAAACTATACTGTCTCTGATATGTTTTTTCTGCACAAAAAAAGAAAAAGAAATAATTTCCACATTGAAATCCTTAAAAAGTAATTTACTCCTACACTGTTAAATTCCAGAACCTCTGAATATGCAAATGTTGTTCATTTCTAAAGTTTTGCTGCCAGACCAAGGATGTCTCCTACTTCACTGTAAACTGGTGGATTCTAGTTTCTATATCAAACTGTACATGTTGCATACTGGACCAGTCCTTTGGTGTTGTGTTCCAGTCATTTGTGTGCACAGATTAATCATTTTCAAGCACAAATGTAATATGAGACCAAATGTTAAAATTTGTGAGCATTCATTTGTTTTTAAACCTGCAGTGCTCCGAACATACCTGACCACGCCCTTTTATTTTTAGCTCTCTTGTAGCAGTTTTTACAGTGGCAAGAAGAGAATAGCAACTTCATTAGATGAAAGTAAAGAAAAGCAGAAGTAGTTTGTTACTGAAGAGTTCATCTCAATTGTTTTTTCATTTTCTGGCTGCTGGGGCCAAACACAGCCACCAACCTTTGAATAATGTTAAATCAAAAACAAGCGGAACTACGCATGCATTTAGGAATGAGCTCAGTTGTTAGAACCTGCCGTCTCACTCTCTCAGGTGAACTGCTGGTAATAGTTTGGCAGGTGGCCAGTGGAAAGAATTTGTCCTATGCTGAGTGCAAGAAGAACCGGTTCATCGAGGAGCGCCTTGACAGGGCGCGTGTACAGACTGTGCCAAAGTGCATTCAGTTGTAGAACGAAGTGAGGCCAGGAGTGTGACAACCGGTTGTCGCTGTAGTAAAAGCTTCCTCACTGCGTGCCAGTTACAGTCACAGTAATCTATCACATGCAGATCAAACGTTTCAGATCCTTCATTCGACCACAATGTGGAATTTGAAATTACATTTGAATCTTCATAAAACCACGAATGCATGTTTATGTTTGGATTGGGGTGATTTTGCGTCACTGCAGAGAGAATGTGTTTTCTTTTTGTCCCTCTCTTTCTACGTTTCACAGCGTGGTCGGCGTGCTAGTAACGGCCTGCGTCGTCGTAGGAGGTTACATCCAGGTCGAAGAAGTCCTCCAGCTTCCACTGCAGGGTCTCGAACGTGGGCCGGTCCTGTTCGTCCGTCTTCCAGCAGTCCATCATGATGTCGTACAAGACTTTGGGGCAGTTGGGGGGGCACACCATCCTGTAGCCCTGGGGAACCCTCTGGACCACCTGGTAGTTCGTCATGGCTGGAAGAATCACAGGAGGACATTATAACGTCTCTTTCAGGAGAACATTATTTAGCATTAAACATTCAGCTGGGAGGTTTTAAGACACTTGGTACCTATGAAATCCCACAAACGCACACAGAGAAACATTTCTGAAGGCTGATGAAAGGCTCACCCGGGTAAGGCATCTGTCCGAATGTCATGATCTCGTACAGCAAAATTCCAAAGGACCAAATGTCAGATTTGATGCTGAACTTGTTGTCGTTGATGGCCTCTGGAGCGGTCCACTTCACAGGGAACTTACTTCCTTCTCTGGCCTCGTACACGTTTTCATTCTCTTTCTAGAAACAAGACATGGCACAAAATACAGACTGTTACTTTCAGTCAGTCAGCTTTTGTGTACTTTAGTGTACTACTGTACACAAGTACAGACTAGAGGTACTTGTACTTTATTAAATTGAGTATTTCCATTGTGCAACTTTACTTCTACTCCACTACATCTCAGAGGCAAATATTGTACTTTTTACTCCACTACATTTGTCTGACAGCTTTAGTTACTTTTCAGATTACAGTTTTCATACCCTTCCTATCCAGTAAGAACCATCTCTAGCTGTGTTGATTTGGAATGTTTGTGTGACCATTTAAAACCCCTCTCTGATTTGCTGTAAAATGCACCGTCACAAAGCTGAGGTTCTCACAGGACAGCCACGCTACAAACATATAATGATCTTATAGAATACTGACAGCCTTGCTTACTAGCTAGTAATGTTGTGTTCAGGTGTTACAACTGAATCAGTAAGTAGGTATACACACACACATGCAGAAGTAAACACTGGTACAAGTATCACAGGCTGGGAATCGGTGGTGTATGGTGTGTATGGGGAGTGAGAATGGTGTGTGAGTGTTGTATTATTTTATATGTGCATAAAATAAGAAAAAGGAACAGAGGAGGAACTACTGTCTATGTATGTATGTTATGTGTGAACTACTGTCTATGATGGTGGATGATGGTGGATGGATGGATTTGGTGGATGGATGGATGGATGGATGGATGGATGGATGGATGGATGGATGCATGTATGCATGTATGTATATATTTTAGGCTGGTAACACCCAGTGCCAGGTGTAACCTGGCACTGGTGACCAACAACCCAGCCAACCAATGCCAGTAAATGAGGGCAGCACAATTATTGGAGAATGTGAGCTTGCTTTAGTTTCACTTCAAGGCAGGTGTTCATTACCAGAGTATGTCTCTACTGCGAGTACACTTACATCTTTTTGATTTGTCACAGGAACTATGACACTTGCTACATACAGTATACAATACAGCTTTAAATGTTAAACCCACCATGAAGACCCTTGCGAGGCCAAAGTCGGCCACCTTGCAGATGTTGTTCTCGCCCACCAGGACGTTCCTGGCTGCCAGGTCTCTGTGGATGTAGTTCTGTAGCTCAAGGTAAGCCATGCCTGACGCCACCTGGGCAGCCATCTCAATCTGGTCAGAGATGCCGAGTGTGGTGCCCTTATCCTCTGTATCAATGTAGAGAGGCACAGAATCAGTTGCAGTCAAACTGTATTATATATGTTATAGGTGGCAGAGGAAGAAAGGTGATAAAATGTGGAAAATTGTTCTGCTTATAGATTTTAATTAGGAGAAATTGTACTAAATGTAACAATAAAACAATAACAATCCTGCATTATATGGCAACTTATGCTAAATCAAATTCGGGTTTAACAATTTATAATTTTTACACTAGACAGAACTGAAAAAACAAAAATTTCACTCGCAATATAGCCAATAACTCATGTCCATGTCTTACCAAGCTACGGGAGGAAAATGTATTATTCTGTGGCCATCAGCTATTTCCAGTAAAATGACAACTGGCTGCAAATTTACTGAGCTGTAGCCAATTAACCATAATTCTGTTCTCAGGGCAAAATATCAAATTTATCTCCTGGCTCTCACATGCTGCTGTCTGCACTAGTAAAACTCAGCTAAATCTGTATTAGGGCTGCAACGATTCCTCGAGTACCTCGAGTAACTTGATTACAAAGAATGATTGAGGAATTTCGTCGGCCTCGAAGCCTCGTAAGGCTCACGTTTTGCACGGATTCTTTTTAGTGTGACACAACGTGCTTACGTCACAGGCTATGCGTCCCCAACAACGCGGAAGAAGACGGAAGCGGGCTCTGTAACGTGTGTGGACAGTTTTGCTGTACAGAACGGCAGACGCCGGGACTGAAAACTGAAAACAGTGATCTGTCTTGTTTTCTATTGTATATTTATAATCGGGCTTTAATTAAGCAAAAGTATGTTTTATCCGATTACTCGATGAATCGATGGAATATTCTATAGAATACTCGATTACCAAAATATTTGATAGCTGCAGCCCTAATCTGTATTATTCTGATCTTTGAAAAGACAGAATGGGATGAAAATATAATGTTCAGTTTTTTGTAAACTCTTTGAGAGAGAGGAGTGATTCAGCTGAGTTCACTGGACTGCAGAACAGAACAGAAATGCCTCTTTGTATAAAGCAAAATAGTTCAACAGTACCACAAACTACACTGCAGAATAGACCTTTTTCACAGCAGTCATTTTGGCATGAAATAGGGTAAACACAGGTGTTACCGAAGGTTCTGTTCCACTTAGTGTAGCAGGGCCTTTCCAGTGAGCCAACATGCACAGTAGCAGCTACTCTTTAAATATCTGCACTGGGCATTGAAAACCATTGGTCCAACACTAGTGTTTAGTATACCAATAATGTAATCTCTTATTATTACTGGAATTCAAATTGCAGTAGCAATACGGGTCATAGAAATTGCACACATCTGCCTTAGGTAAAATTAAATGTAAACAGGGTACAAGACTATTGTTTTAATTTGAAGGTTTTTTTTTTACAGGTTTCCATTAGTTCTTAACCCTGGTACATAGTGAATTTTGACTGTTCCAACAAAAGATTTGCATGGCTTTACCTTTCATACTTAAAGTGTCTATACACATTGGCCACCAACACGTGTTTTCACTAAATTTGCCAGATTAGACTGTATGAGGTCTAATTATTGAGAATAACTGACAGCTGTGAGGGTTAGCAGGGCCTTTAAACTTAAGGCCAGTAAACTATCGCTATTGGACTATTGCTGCCCTCCATCGTAGTGTTTACTGTGTCCACAAGGAGATTCCATTTCTGTTGTAGTATTCATAAACGTTTGTGTACACGACTTCCCATGTCATCACTATGAGCTCACAAGTTCCATCTGAAGGCAGCATATGTCTAACTCTAACTCTCCTTTTACAGTTGTGTTTTTAATGTTCAATATCCTTACAGAAAAGTAATTAATAGCAGCTACAGTCTAGCTCACTTTCTACTTATGTGACTTTGAACACATCCTAGCCATGAGATGTTACAGTAGCAGGGTGTGTGGTGTATTATGGTTGATGTGGGTCACCACGCAGACTGTCTCAGGGCTGCAGACATCAGTTCCACATGAGCGCTCCTCAGAGTGACCATCACTCTAAATTGAAGTGACGCTACATCTCTCACACTACAGAACAGCATGTCAGTCAGAGAGGGGAGCACTAACATGTCCCAGCGAGGACCAGGACCGAAATAAGGCAAATGAAGCATTACCAAAAATAAAATTTTAAAACATGGCTCAAGACAAACCATCATGTGATCACTGAGCTTAACCTTTATGGAACCAACTGTTGTCCTGTATTCTTAACCCACATTTCCTTACACTTTGGCAAACTGGCACCATTAAAAGTATGATGACTGAGCTATGAGCATTTCCTGTTTGTAATGTACTCGTGGAAGCTATCCAGCTATCACTGGACTACTCTGATACTGAAGATTCTGACTCTCAGGAAAGTTCAGGATTGCAGCAATAAAGACAACAGATATATCATTATCCTTGGAAAGTGCAGATCACACTGAATCTGAAAGTATGTGCATCATGACTGCGTGTTCAAATGTTCTGAGGAGTGTCATTTTTGATGCAAAGCTGCAGCCATCGGCCGCATTAACAGTTGGAAAACTAAAACTGTCCAATTAAGGGAAGACTAGTAAAACAGTGTTTATCACACCTATACATGTTTTTATCCTGGGATGTATGGATTAAATTAAATATGTTGTATATTATGCTGTATGTTTATTAGCTTGACGGTAATGAACGTAAATGCAACTCTACACTCAGATTTTTATGGTGAAAACACACACACACTAACCTACGATGAAATCTGCTGTAAATAAAAGCAAGTGAACACATTCTCTTCCTCAACATGATCTCAACCTGTCATGCAATGCTGACTTTCTGCCAACAGATACAACTAGGGTTAACATCAGTGTGTGTCCAGAGCAGAAAGAGCAAATCCTGGACTCCTGCAGCCAGTAAGTAAGATCTCAGTTAGGCTCAGGGTTTGAGCTGCAGTATTCTTCCTTAATATTCATTTCAGCAACCGAATGATCAAACTAAAAGTCTAATAGAGCCTCACCTTTATCACGGTTCTATGTTTTGTATAATGTATCCTTTGTAAGCATCCAATCCAATCTGGCCTAAAGTATGAACATCTGAAAAAAAATCCAAAAACTCTAAGGAGAACTCAATGGGAAAGTGGCGAACCCGGAACCCGGAAAGGATTTGGCTCACGAGAAAACTGATTTATATGCTGGGATAAATCTCTGCCGTAACCTGACCTTTACCACATGTGGGGGGATTGTTTTCAGATAGCAACGACAGCAGCACTGGACTCTGGACTCTTTGGACTCTCATAAAATAGAAATAGCTCATAATCACATGTGCAGGTGACAGTGAGGTTGTCTTACTCTGGAGGTACTCCAACAGGCTGCCATTCTTCATCAGCTCTGTGATGATGTAGATGGGCTCCTCCATGGTGCACACAGCGTACAGCTGGATCAGCTTGGCATGCCGCAGCCTCTTCATGATCTGAGCCTCTCTCAAAAAGTCCTCAGGGTCCATGGTACCTGCGGGAGGTGTTCACTGATGTTATATTAGGTGATACACAGTATGTGGTGTAGTGTTTGTACACGGCACAGATATTCTATAGAGAAATCTAAAACTTTGGTTGTTTTGTTTTGGTTAGCCATGGAGGCTAGTGCTGCTCATGCTAACTATCCTGTTCAGTTTCTAGGAACTGTGCCTGCCTACAATTCTATATTGCCAGATATTCTTAATACAGACCTTTACTTAATTCTGAAGTGTTTAAATGAGAGTGACATGGAATAGAAACTCATTTTAAACCAAAACGTCAACAGCTGATGTTTAATTTGTTGCCCACAACACTGGGTGGGTGTCCTGTTCAGGTTCATCTTAATCACATCAAATCACCATCAGTGACAACAGGAAATTCTAACTGAAGTCCCTCAGGGCTCTAACTTAGGTCCAATTATAATTTCTTTTTAAAAGCTCTTTCTTGGTAGTATTTTCAACAGCTGAGCTTTGTAGTTACGCTAAGCCTGTGTACAGAAAGCAAGGAGTAGTCTCTGTTAGCTTACTTAGGACAAACAGGTCAATATAACAGGCCAGTCCAGCATAATACAGCTCAGAAACCTTTTAAAAAGGTTTTTATTATCTATTTCAGATTATCTCATCTGTAACAATAATCTTTATGTATAGAGCACTTTTACAACCATCAAGGCAAATGCAATTTAAAGAAAATACAAACCTAGTTATATACTGAATAAATGATCAGATTTTACTGATCACATACTACACTGTTGACATGATCATTAAAACTTGCACTTAACAAATGTTTACTTAATTTGAATTGTTTGTTTCTAGTTTCAAAACTTTAGTCAGGGAAAAGGAGGCATTAATGTACCAGGTTTGAGGGTCTTCACTGCAACTGCTGTGGTTTCGTTCCACAGGCCCTCAAACACTTCTCCGAACTGACCGGCTCCCAGCTTCTTCAGCAGCTTGATGGATTTGCGGTCAATCTCCCATTGGTCCACAGTGTTGTATGACAGACCGTGAGTCTGTGGAGCCTCCATCTACACCGACACGAAGAGTCACTGTTTACTGATATGACAATGTGACTTTATACTGTACGGAACAGTGCAATTAATGATGAGAAACAAGACAACAATGGAATTTAGCAAATAAACAGCAGTTCATGTTATACTGTACAGCGTGATTTACCTTTTTGCATGGTTCAACCAGACGCACACAGAGACCATCGGCCTGTTTGGAGTAATGTTCCACTAACTCAATAATTGTTTGAAAGGATCGGGTCCTCGACACGTAGTAGTGCCCATTCTCCAGTTTTTTCAGCTTGTAATGCTTCACCTTCCCACTGTCCAGTACTGAAAGACAAGTCACCATGCAGTGGGATATTAAGTTAAGAACTGTATAAGTAAGGTTTCCTCATGGTACAGTGGGCGTAGCAAGCAAACACAAGTTTGTCATAGTCTTGCTCACATGACTAAAATGAGACATTCCAACAGGCTTACTGTGCAAAACAGTTTGCATTCCATTCAGTTGTTGCGATTGTCAATATAGCATGTCGTTATGACAGAAATATGTTTAACTGTGGTTTAAAGCAGCATTACACCATTTGTTTGGCCATTTGTGGCAGGAAAAAAAAAAGACATTGCTTCACCTTGTTCCACTATGTTCACTAGCTAGTTGCTAACTTTGTCTGTCTGCTGTGTGGTACTGTTTTTCAATGAAAACAGCTGCCTGCTGCAGTTGGAAATGAGGTTGATGACAGTAAAATTGCAGGCAGTAAAACCAAAACAAAGAGCTCAAAGAGACTAAAACCTCTGTAGGGCTGATTTGTCCATCTTTGAGGTTAAGCAGTTGACTATGAATGTTTATTACAGATATACATGAATACATAACATCAGAAGTTCTTGTTTAGTTCTGAGAAAGAAATCTGATAGGGAGAGTTGCTTAACCTGGCACCTGTTTGCATTTTCACATATACAGTACAGAGAGGTCATGAGTATATTGTCACGTGTTACTATCAGGAATTATCAGTACGTTAATCACAAGTGTGAACCCATCATAATGTCACCAACTGGTTTGTGAAGTATTGTTTTGAAGCCTCGGGTGGCATTCAATCTTACAGCCACCAGCAGTGACATAGTGTGCTCATTGGCTGTGCTCAGTTTCCACTCGCTCGTAGCAGGAAAAAATGTTCTCAAATGTTCTTGTAATTCCAGATAAAAAGTACACTAAAATATGTTTCAGAAATAATTTTAGGTGAGAAATAATCTTGATTCATGTTTGATCAGCACTGCCTAGTTTGACGGTATGACAGTTTGATCTGAGTTTGGTGCGTTGAGTTGGACAGACTCAATAAGAATGACCTGTAAATCACAAGAAGGCCACGCCCTAAAGCATACCCTGCTTTATGGTCTATTAAACTCTAAATGGGACAATAATTTACTAACTGAACATCATGCTGTATGGAAGAAGACTGAAACTGGAGATTGAGACCATAAACTCATAAAGGAAACGGAGCAAATAAAGATTTATTTGCTATTAGGTTAAATACAAACAGTTATTTTTGTCACCAATGGACCTGCTCCCTGCTGGCCATTAGAAATGTATTGGCCACACTTCTCAGACCTAGAAGCTCTGTTCACTAATTATATTCTGTCAATGGTTAATCACAGATACAGATTCAAAGGCTGATGCTGAATAGTGGCCAATATTCTCTATTAACACAGACAAATCCAAAAAAGCTAATACTGGCGTAATGTTCAACTTACATTCTATTTCATTAAATCAGTAAAATTAGCATGGGGTAAAAGTATTAACACTTGAGTGACCAGATTCACACACAAAATCAGTAAACTAACCTGGGGCTAGTGGCTGTAAAATGCATTTTCTCATCGAGCGAGTTTGATGAATGTCAATGGAAAGAATTTAGTCATAATGGAAAGAGCTAGGCCAGAGCGGAAAAACAGACACTAAAGAGAGAGAGATAAAGTTATCTCACTGGTTTTATGGGAGCTTAACTTGATGACCTTGGAACCATTAATCATTTGAGTCACTGAACAATGCTGGTGCTGTTTGGGAATGTGTGTTTTGTGGCAGAGAAGTACACAGACCGCACAATGCTAACTAGCCTACTAGCATGACTTCATCCAGTTGACCAACTGGAATCATACACTAGTAAAATTTTGATCTGTTGGCTGTCTGATTGCATTAGCAATGATATTCAGACATCACTGCTCTCAACGGGTTCTTCAGTGATTATAGGTTTATAGTTATTCTCTAGTTCTGTTTTCTACCTGTTCAGACTACATGTAAAAATAGGCTGGTTAGCTAACACTGGAATATTTACTGTGTTTTCTTTTAAATGCCATTAATCTTTAAACAAGCTCGTGTAGCTGACCTGTGCTGGACAGTGGCTATATTGTTATATATTATTGTGGCAATTATGAGATAATGGTAAGTGCTACAATGTATTTAAACAGTATCACAAGTAGAGAGAGAGTCATAAAGTCAGAAGTGATTCAGCAATGCCAGTAAGACAGCAATATATAACAGTAGGTAACATTAGCCAGCATAAGCTACTGGCCACCAAAAGTTAGTTGTTTTTGCCCAGGCCCGGTGGATTCTTGTAAATGCCATCAGAGCACTAGGAGGAACCAGAGGAACCTGATTGTTTCACACATTATCTGTCTCATGTTCTACTGTCAGGATATAGTGAAAGTTTCAGTAAATATGACAAAACGTTATTTTTATAAAAGTTACCTAGTGCAGCTTTTATATACACTTCTTCTAAATAAACAAATTAAGAAAAGATACAATTGTGTATGAGTGTATGAACGGAGTGTTTGGTTTCAGAGGACAATTTATCCAAAGCTGAAGTTGCTACTGAAGCTTCATATCTTATCTCACCTGAGAGAGAAAACTCCCCTTTCTGACTTTCACAGTTTCTGACGAGGAAGGCTCCGTGCTGGTTCCCGCCTGCCAACAGCATCTTCTCTGCATCCAGCCTCTTGGTGTCAGGGAAATACCATCTGCAAATCAGAGCAGAGCTGCTCAAACATAACAGCAATTTCTGAATAGAAATAACAATAATAAAAAACATCATCTGTCAGGGGACCAAAAGGGACACTGGTGATTTGATTGAATGTAAACTGGCCTTTTCATATGTCTCCACCACTAAAGCACAATATAGCACTGCAATGTTTCACCCAATCAAACATTCATAAAATACAGTGTCAAAGGAAGAGTCTGGTGATAATTCTACATTTGGGCTTTTTTAAAGAAAATCCCCTAAAAAACCCTAAATCAACTACAATTGCATCTACTAACAAGTATTGTCTGTGTATCCCGATACATCTTCTTCATCTTTTACGTCAGTGTAGACAGACATTCAGGAACGTGACCTGCTCACACTGGAATCTGATAAGGGCCACATTTAAAAAACAATGTGAACAGCCAAACAAAAAAAATCTGATCTGAACAATGAATCTGAATTAAGAGAAAAAGGCTTGCAGTGTGAACATAGTGTAGTGTCCAATAATGCAGCACAATGTTGTCTTATTTAGTCCATATCTCTATTAACATTACTATCCCCCTTTCACTGCCTCCTAAGTCTTGTATTATGAGCCTGTGTGTAATAATGGTGTCCTGTATGATGTCTTTTAGTAACATTAATATATCCTTTTCTCTTTGTTACGGCTTTGCATTAGTTGTCAACTACTCAATTAACTATTTTAATAACCGATTCATCTTTTCAGATCATTTTTTAAGAAAAAATGTCCAACTTCTGATTCCAGGTTCTCAAATGGGAATATTTCCTGCCAATATCTTTGGGTTGTGGACAAAATAAGACACCTGAGGACATCATCTTGGCCTTTGAGACACTGAGCAACATTTTTCACATTTTTCTGACAATTTATGGACCAAAAAATTATTTGATTAATTGAGAAAATGACCAAAAGATTAATGGAAAATGAAAATAACCGTTGCAGCCATGCTTTTAAATCTCAATAGCTTTGGAATTTTAAAACCTTCTAAGGGGGGCTTGGTAACATCTGTCCAAGGACTAATGTTTAAAGTAATGTATTGGCTAACTCTTGAGCATTTACAGCAATGCTTATTAATGTGCGCTGTCCCTCACTAAATATGTGGGGCCCACAAATGTGACCCCCTCCAGCAGGTTAATCTGGCCCTGCAACAGAAGCCTACAATGTATTACCAGAATCTTAGTCTGTACTTCATCAGGTCAAATGTATTACAGGTGAGCCAGCACAAAAAAGGAAAAATGATGCACTCAGAAGGCAGTTTGTTCATTTTTAACAGAGGGGATGGCCCAATGGGAGCACCCTTGTGATGAGAAGACTGGTTGTTTTAAGTAACCCTCTATACACTATAGTTTAGAGCAGGGGTGTTCTATTAGAATTCAAAGAGTTCCAGTTAGACAAAGTTTCCTCTAGCAAGGTCCAAAACATCCTCATGTCTAACTTGCAGTATATATTGAAGTAGCTTAGTATCAGTGTATAGAAGTAGTAGTTTGTATAGTAGTCTATAACTGACTGACAGATTAAATATAGTACAATATTTGTTTTCACATTGAACTGGATGGATTATAAATAAGTACTCTAATAATACATTTTCGATAAATGAAAATTCCATTTCAACAGTCTCAATCAATATATGATAAACAATCTCAGCAACTTTAACAAATCCTTTTGTATTTCCTCAAATGTTTACACTTCATTAAGAGTTGTGTTCCCTTTTAAACTAAATTGGTATCACACTCCAAAGTTAGGCGACATTTTGCCAATGGAAAAACTGCCATGACCATTTTCAAAGAGACCTCTGACCTCTGTACCCATAAGTCCCCCCTTTGCTGACATGCCCACTTTATGCTAATCTCATGCAGTTTTTGTACAAAACTTTTTGTTATTTTCACCTAGTGTGATTGAATATTTCTGCATACTGGGGTGCATAAACAGTATTGGAATTGCATTCTTCATGCCAAAGTCAGTGTCCCTCTTGTGCCACCCCAGTCAAAAAAAAAAAAACACCCTTCCTCAGTACCAGGGAATGAAGAGTGGGGGCAGGCAGGTTAACATGGTCATTTGCTAACAAGGGGGGCGGCATTGGCCCTCAAATCAGCTGCTGGATGGACTGACGTATATGGAAATGTCCAGGGTTAACATTTATCAGTGAGGTAAAATGTAAACAGGGAAAAACACTCATTTAAAAGCTGACAGGGCTTTAACATTCCACTGAGTCCCACAGTCTGAGATTACTGTCCCGAGATATGAATGCGATAAGCAGCACCATTTCTTGAAGAGTTATAAAACTAATTCTTCTGGTGTCACATGTTGCCCATCCAGCCTGTGATTCAGTGAAACTATGACACAAATGATGCCTGCATAGCAAAGCTTATTTCATCCCTGTAAACAAAACAGGAAGGACCAGACTACAGCTGGGAAGAAACCGGTTCGGCTGAGAATGCATCACAAACAGGGGCGGGGCTACAACCCAGCTCCACAACAGTGCTCGCCTTTTAATGATTTGCATTCCTGAAAACAATGTGAACCTGTCGAGATATATTCAATGGTGCCTAGAGCTTTCTTGCAATACCAGTTTCTGTAGTCAGGGCCAGCTAGAAATGTTGATGTTTGGCTTAAAATATAAATGTTCATATAAGATTAGACTATTATCATTAGAATAGTTGTTCACATTACACTTAAACAGTAGCAAGAAAAAAGGTCCTGAACTGGATCCAAATGTATTTATTTATATTTTAAATAGGAATAATATTGAATTTACTTACATTTTAGATAATCTAGAAACAGTATTTAGTTGTGACAAACACACACATACATCAGTAAGTACACTATCAGTCCTTCCTCTTGTCCTCTCTGATTGGTGTCAGTAGTTTAACCCTATCTACAGTTGCCAGCAAGGGCATTGTAATGCCTTGTTGAGATTTTTTGTTTTTTAACCTTTCCCTCATGAGAATTATTAACCTGTACTTGAGCCTGCAGTTCCTGCTCACAGACAATAATTAACTAACCTAAGACTTGTCTCTGTAGACATTATCCAGCAGCTCTAATGACAGAAAACATGACCTGCTTTATCGTTTTACAGTGTTCTATCTCTGTGAAATGACATGAAAATCACACACAGGGGTTTTGTTTCTTATTTTCTTTTCTTTTTGAAAATGGATTTGAGTATGATGAATGCACACCTAACACTCTGGTTCCAGTTACTAAGTGTGTTTTCCCATTTTGTATTTGATCTATTTCCATACCAGGATGTTGATTTATTTTGTCGGTCCTTATTTGTCTCTATTATCTTTTGAGTGTCAGCTCTGCTTCTTTCTGCTATAAGTCCTTCACAGAAGAGATTTGGCTTCTATTGTAAGCTCCATGAGAATGATTGTTCACCTTGATACAAGTAAAAAAAAATGTTTACAGTGTATATAAATAACAATTTCATTTAGTTTTCTTCACAGAAATAAATGAAATGCTGAGATACAGACCAACTGTATGTTTAAAAAAAAAAAGTTCTTACACCCATTCAAATCAAGAAAAGAACTAATTATTATTATTTAGTTATTATTCACATGAATGTCATGATTAAATGATTATGTATGCATTGAAATGTGTATACTATTAAGTACTAATGTTGAAATGGGAGAACAAATAAGAGTTTGAACATCTTTTCAGAAATATTATAAATATTACATTTATCTATATTTATATTTATATTATGTCGCTAAGTAAGGGATAGGGGACGATGATGATGATGATGATGATGATGATGATGGAATTGTACTTACGGTTCTGCATCCATACTCTCCACAGGTGCCACATAATTAGCCGGGATGTACCCCTTTTTGGAGGCCGAGACCCCGCTGAGGGCTCTGGCCAACCACCATTCACCAGCACTTTTGTCCAGAGCCTCTAAAGTGTCCCCGGCGTTAAAGCTCAGGTCCTCCTCGGTGCGGGCCGAGTAGTCATACAGGGCGATGTAACAAGCCCCGGCTCTCTCCACTGGCAGCGGCGGTAAGGACCTGTTAGACGGAAAGTCAGCCTCCACAGTTTTCGCACCGGGATTTGTAATAACCGTGTCGGTCTTCTGGCGCCCGGTGGCGCCTCCAGACTGGTTGGGTTTTTTGAAACATGCCAAAAAACTCTCCCAACACGAAGAAAACCTCTTCTGGATCTCCATGTTGCGGTCGTCAATCACAGCGGCTCATTCTGAGTCAGGAATGAAGACGGAAATGGTTTGGGAGAACCCCTTCTTCTTCTTCACCTGGCTCATAATCCACATTCCGTGGAACACAGAGTCATCTTAACAGTGCCGGACAGCTCCTGGTCTTTGACCCTCAGCACACGCCCAGCTCATTAACGCACTGTGAGGGAAGTGACTGACACTTAGATGTGAAGTTTCCTGGAAGCGGACTCGGTCTGGAGTTGACGGCTCGTGCAGCAGTGTGCCAATCACCTGCACCTGCTGAGGAATGGGGAGCGGCCCGCGCCACATGACGTCATGTGCTCTCAGGGCGGCCATATTGGAGGAGAGCGCGGGTGAGCTAAACACAGCTGATCACACAGGAAGAAATGTGTCATGATTTTCTCTTTTCATACTTTTGGCTATTGAGTAAAAAATATATTATTCATTACTCAAACATTACATGAGTAATATTATTACTTTACTTATTACTCCCTGCTAACAATATTCTATTTAGTTACACTACTATCAGTAGTTATATTACTTTTCTGCTACTCCCCACAGAATTGGTAATGGTCTCCCTTCTCCCCAAGATTCAAAGTTCCCACAAATAAAATCCAGTATTGTTTATTAAAGCCACTGACAGTATACACAGTGGACACAGCGTCAGGCTCTGTGAAGTAAAGCCAAAGCGTAAGTGTTACATCCTATGTAATGGCCAGCAGGGGGGAGCTCCACTGGCTGCAATAACAACCGATACCATGCAGTCTTATGGAGAAATGACCCTACTTGTGACTTGATTTATTAGCTCAGTAAAAAGTTTGGAAACGCCCCTGCTGTTAGTATCATACTAATAAAAAATGGATTTACCCTATACTCAACAATTATATAACAAACATGACAAATGTAAGCTTATTAGAGAGAAAAGAATCCCCGTTAAGTCCTTGGAGTCAAGGGTGCCACCGTCTTGCAGCACTGTGACCCCTGACGTCACACGGCCGGTTGTTTAGGTTGTTCATAGCGAAAGACGGAGACACTGAAAGATCGAGACTGAAGAGCCACAGGACAGAAGAAGACAAAAGCGAGACCACTATTAAATTGCTCCTGGGTGTGAAAATTAGTTTTATAGGGTGAAAGCCGATGGGTGCAGATTTTCTCAGTGTTGATGGAGCCACAGGTTGTGAGTTCAATCCCTGCTGAGGGCAGCACTCAGTAGAGATGAAAGTGAGGCTGAAAACACGGTTCTTCTGATAAAACCCCACTCCCTCTCTCTCTCACATTTCACCATGACTGTACCTCTACGATTATAGGAGTTTTAAACTTGAACTTTTTTCTTTTTAAGTGTTAGTCACATCAATCCTTCAGGTTTGATTCACAATGAAAACCTGTCCTTATGTCACAAACGCAAACAGTCAATCCAAAAACAACACAACACTGATACACTGATGTCATTGCCTTTATTTTGAGAAGGTGTGAGGAAAACTGCCATCTCAGTGGCTCAGACAGTGAGTGTCTGCTCTGGGGCTGGACCTCATTTGTTATGAATTCTTTATGTTCAGAGACATTTGGTTCAGAGACTTTTATTTTGAAACCACAACTTTTATTTTGGAAGTACAGAGCGGTCGTTTTCGCTCATTTCTTTTATGCCGTTATTGGTGCAGAAGTCACTGACGATGTAAGTTATAATTACTGTGAAATGAATGTGGTGATATAACGTAGTTCTCACTCCAGACTTCGGTTAAGTGTGTTTGATGAACTCCTGCAGTATCAGTGAGGAGTTGTTCCAGCAACTAGTCTGTGACCGTATTAGCTGTGTGGTGAGCTAATTGGCCAGCTTAGCTAGCTTGGCTGTCTTATTGTGGAAGTGTAACATGGCTTCATTGTCACTTTAGAAATGTAGTGGTTCACTGTTAGTGTTAGTGTTTATTACTTACTATATGTATATACAAGTATGCATTTATAGTAATTAAGTGCACGTATTAATGTTGGTTATGAGTAATAACCCAGTTGTGTTTATTTCAGAAACTGATCTGTTATGCACCGTCGTACTGCATCGTTTGTTATATTCTCATTCTGGCAGTAAAGACTGTAAACGAACTGATGACTGCGTGTTCTCTGAGCGGAGCCCTGTAGTGGCTGATTTCCACACACACCAGTTTAAGGGATCAATACCCAACAAAGGTCCTTAGAGCCGGATTTAACTGGCTACTGCAGAAATGTCATCAGAAGATAAGTCAGAGTCTTTATCAAATCACGAGGCCCATCAGCGCCATGTGAGGCATCGCTACCCACCCAGACATCTTGAGGACTACATTCTGGCCTACAATTCTCAGCGACCTGCCCTTTCCTCCCGCCCTACCGAGAGAGAGTCAGAGGAGCAGAGAGGAGCAGCAGCCGCAGCAGACAGTGGCCATATGGAGGCGGCCTCTCATCTGGACAGACACGTAGCCTCACACAGCCTGCAAACTCCAGCAGTATGAAACCCGACAGCGCCAGGAGCTTCTGGAACACATTGCTTCCTTCTTAAAGGAAGAAGAGGCAGATGGCGATCATCACAACAGGGAGAGTGCTACACCCCCACCAACTCTTGTCACCCTCAGCGCTTCATCCCCATACATCCATTGCCAACCCAAGCCATTCTCCATCGTCACTAGCAAAGCAGGCATACAACATGGAGCCTCAGGTTGGTGGACTAACTAAAGGATGCAAGTCCGTGGGACCAGAGAGTGGAACAAAGGTGAGAGTCCTCACCCCTATGGCGAAAGGTGACAGAACAAACTCTGCATTCACACCAATACATCCAGCCTCGACAAAGTGTCCAGACTCCCCCTATTCCACCATCTCCTCATACGCTATGGGAACGCCAACACTAGGAGTGCAGCACATGACCGAGTCAAACGCTCTGCAACCACAAGCTACAGGGCTATCTTACCACTATGATGAACATGGAGAGGGACTTCAGCCCCAGGTGCAACAGCCATCAGCTGCTATAGCCCAGACCTATACACCTATGGCTGTGGCTTACAGCTATCCAGTTGCACAGAGTTATCCTCCTCCACAAGCGACAACTCAGCCTTCCCCGAGCCATAGTCTGCCTAACTATGCTCCCCTGCCTTCATCAATAGTGCCACTTCAGCAGCCATTACCTGCTCCACTGGTGGGGAACTTGCCTGCAGCCGTTCAACATCAGCTGCCATCAAACCAGACTGTAGCTCCAACCAGCTTTGGCCTGCCACATCACTCATCATATGGGGTGCCAAAACCCTGAATCCCAGACTTCTCAATAGATAGTGAGAAGGAGTTTACTAACTTGAAGCTAGCATTAGACAACCTGCTGGAACCTCATTTGGAGCTGTCGGAGAAGTATAAATATCATGTGCTGCTCGAACACCTCAAGCTGCCTGAGGCACAGATGATTGGTCAGTCCTGCCGCCACCACCCATACCCATATTCGGCAACCATGCAAGCTTTGCAACTCCAGTATGGTCAACCGCATCAGCTGGCACAGAGTGAAATCGCAGCTATCCTAACCACATCTGATGTGAAGCCCGGTGATGCCCGCACCTTCCGAGTCCACCTCCTAGTTAGCATGCTGCAATCTTTGGAGGGGCCCCGGGGTATGGAGCTGAACTGCTGCTCTCATGTCGACCGCTTACTAAGTAAGCTACCTAAGTATCATAGAGATGGGTTCATCGAATATCTGCAACTACAGGGCAAGCTCAACAGCACAAGCCTCAATCCCTGCAACCTGCAGGACTTGGATGAATGGCTACAGGGAAAAGCCCAGCAGCAGTGCCTGTCCAGCAGACTAGTGCAGCGCTATCAACTCGACACCTTCTGTTAATGAGAAGGAGAAGTTCCAGCCTAAGGGCAGAGCTCAAAGCGTAGCTGTGTATCACGGTGCAGAGCGCACACACAGCCAAGCACATACAGTAATTCTTCGACAACCAACAACAAGAAACCTTTCAAAGTACACTGCCTCTTCTGTGACAGCAAAGAACAATCAAGAATCAGTCGCTGCCAAAACATCAAACAACAGTCAGCAGCAGACATAGGGAAGTGGATAGCAGAAGGGAAGCGCTGCTGGAAGTGTGCCCATGTACCTGAGTCATGTAATCTTAAGAAACCCTGCAGCGACTGCGGTGGAATACACCTCCAGGTCCTTCATGACGCAGTCCAACGTCGCTTCATCGATCTGAGAACCTCAGAGAGTCGAGTTTATCTGACACCCAGCATTGCCTGGAGCAAAGTGCTCCTGAAGGTGGTTCCAGTCCTGCTGCATAACAATTCTAGATCAATGGAGACCTTCGCTGTCCTAGATGATGGAGCACAACGGACCATCATTCTACCAACTGCTGTCGAGCAGCTCCAGTTGAAGGGTGAGTGTGAAACTCTCGCCCTATGCACTGTGCGGACAGATCTCACACACCTCCAGGGGTCAAAGGTCAGCTTTGAAATATCCTGCAAAGCAAACCCGCAGAAGTGCTACACGGTGCAGGGAGCATTTACTGCTTCAGGCCTAGACCTGGTGGAGCAGGCCTATCCAGTGCAGATGCTCCAAAGACGTTCACCTACGTGGGGTCCCACTGCAGTCATTCGTCAATGCCCGTCCCCTGGTGTTGCTTGGGTCAGATCATGTGCACCTTATCACCGCCACTAAGCCAATTCGCTGAGGAACAAATGGTGGACCCATAGCCATCCATACCGCCCTCAGATGGGCATTGCAAGGTACTGGCGGGTGTGCACCAGAACAGACCTCAGTGCAGCAGTGCCTCTTCACCTTGGTCACTAGCCCTGAAAACCTCCTGTATCGGAACGTGGAAAGGTTATGGCAACTTGACGTTCTGCCCTTTCGGAATGAGAAAATGGTTGTTCGCTCCCGTGAGGATCAGGAAGCCATGGACGTTCTGGAAACGAAAACACAGCGTGTTGACATTGACAGTGTTAAGCGTTATTCGACCCCCCTCTTGAGGAGGAGAGGAGCACCTAAACTCAACAGTTCCACACATGCTGTCATAGCTCACCTGAGGGCCACAGAGAAGCAGCTCCAGAAGGATCCAGAGAAGGCGGCCATCTCATCCGGGCTGGGTATGTGAAGAAACTTCTGCCGAACGAGGTAGATCAGTCTACGGAGGCATGGTATCTCCCTCATCATCTTGTGTGCCACAACAACAAGTCACGATTGGTCTTCAACTGCTGTACTAGCCTATATATTTTTTATCATCATACGGACTTAACAGGCTTCTTTTTTGACAAATTCAATGTTTTCTTGTCCCTGGCGCTTGGCCATTGTTCTATTAGACAATTTACGTGCGGAGACATATATATACTGTGTATATTTTGTGAATCTTCTGGCATGCCTTTCATTCAAGAAGGTCTTGCTCTTTCTGTCTGCAGCTGGTCTCATTAACAAGGCCCTGAGCCCCCACTGACACTGACTCGTAACTCCCACCCTGTATATATGCATTACATTAATGCACTCCCGTCTTCTGTACAGTTTTCTTATCTTTCTTATCTTTATTTATTTAGATTTTAAAAGAACTTTATTCTTTTGTGATTTGTATATTTTTGTGTGATTGTATATTTTATGCACCATTGCACCAAGACAAATTCCTCGTATGTGTAAAAACCTACCTGGCAATAAAATCTGATTCTGATTCTGATTCATCCCCGAAGCTTTGGCGACCCCTAGTGGGGGTCCCGACACCCAGGTTAGGAACCACTGATACAGGGCATCAGTGTTAAACTGTGTTGCATAACCAGTTAAAAACTCCTTGTATTTAACAATGGCTTTCTACCTTGCACAAAGGTTTGTATGTTTATTAAGATCCCCATTAGCTTCTGTATTCATCGCTGTTCTTCCTGGGGTCCACACAGTTTACATGGTGGCAAAACTATACAAATATACACACTCACATTACTTATCACAATACACTGACAACAGCACATAGTAATTAGGGATGTCGGATAATATTGGCCCTCCGATATTCACTAAAAAATGTAATATCGGGAATTATCAGTATGGGGTTTTTATAACCGATGTTTGTTCTGTAGGCTTCAGCATTTCCGAGCCTGCATGAACGCAGCATGGGATGTTTACCGGCGCGCGCTAGATGACGTATAACAACTACGCTAGACTGGTTGGTTGCTAACCGTGGCTAACAAGCAAACAATTTAAAGCTGAATGATTTTAATATTAACACAAAATAAATGCAATGCACCTTAAATATTTGACCCTGCTATGAGCTGTTCCTTAACCAAACTAACAATTGGCTTAGAGTTTACATTAGCACTCCTTCAGGTGCAGAATACAATTAAACACATTAACCAAAGCTAGTGATTAGCGTTAGCGCTCTTTTCAGTATTAATACAATGAAAGTTGAAGTTGTTCTCTTATTTTGCACAGACAGTGTTTACACTTGGAAAGCCATGTTGCATTTATGTATGCATCCAGTGGGTAGGGTGGCCATTCCTCCGGCTTTTAAATGCCCTGCCTGCAGCCGGACACTCATTTGTCCTCCTTTTGAGAAAATAACTAAAACTGTCCGCCTTCTGACACATTACCTCTTAGTTTAATACTTATTGGCTAAAAATGTGTGTCAAAATAAGTCATTTCATTGGTTACATTTTCGTGTGGTGACCTATCAACACATGGCTAATGTTAATATTCAAATGAGCCATGTGATCACTGCAGTTGCTACCACCAGGCTGTCAATCAAGCTCTCAGACAGAGAATGTTAGTTAATCTTGGTTGTTGGACTGAATTTCTGAAAATGCTCATACTCATACCTTTTATCTATCCAGATAAAAACATTAAAAACAGTTTGTGTATGATGTTTATAGACCTATGTAATCTGAATTGGAAGGGCACATTGTCATGAGCTGTATCTTGTATATTTATTATTAGCTATGTGGTATGTGTATGCACCTTTATGTAATCTGCTGGAAAAACATTCAAATTTAAAACCGGATCATACCAAACAAATATCTGCTTGCGTGTCCCCGTGTATGCAAAGTGTCCTCCTTTTTGATGTGAAGGAAATGGCCACCCTACCAGTGGGGCATCACAATAAAATGAGGCATAATGTGTTAATTCCACAATAGGAGATATGTTATGTTGTTACCTAACAGTTTTGGTGTAAAAAGCCTGCATATATCGGTATCGGGTGATATCGGTATCGGAAATTGAGAGTTGGACAATATCGGAATATCGGATATCGGCAGAAAAGCCAATATGGAGCATCCCTGATCGTAATGCACATATACTGTAAATAAAACAACAATTATAGACTTACTGTGGACAAACCCACACAAATGAAAAGAAAGAGATCACCCATGAACAACCCCCCCCCCCACACACACACACACACACTATAGAGTGCTTTTTAAATTACTTAGTTTCCTTTCAATTAAAAAGCACTCTTTGGTGTGTGTGTGTGTGTGTGTGTGTGTGTGTGTGTGTGTGTGTGTGTTCGGCAATCTGCTGTGGAGTATGGCATTACAATTGAATGCGCTTTCCGAGTTCATTTTGCGCATATACACTGTGTATTACGGTGCCGTCCCGCACCCGGAAGTGCTGCACGCTCCCGCACGCTCCCGCACTCGCCTCTCTGCCGCCTTCTCCTGGAACACAGGAGTTTAACTTCTGGCTGCGCGCGGGCAACTTATTGACGTTAACGGTTCCGTGATAATCGATTCGGGTGTAGGAAAACAGGCTCTGGTGAATTCTTTTCGCGGTACCGTGAGCCGGAGAGCGAGCAGCGCGTGTACGGACCACAGTCCCATCCCCGCCACCGTCGCACAGTGACATTGACATATCAGTACGGTAGTGTAGCGCCGCCGCCGCCGCCGCACAAGTTAATGTGAGAGCGGTAAGCTCCGGAGCGCGTTCCCCTGCAGTTCCCCCCAGCTTCAGACACAATGAGCGAATACTTCAGCCTGTCGGACTGCGACGTTATCGGCTTCGACCTGGACCACACGCTCTGCCGCTACTATCTGAAGGAGACCTCCAGGGTGAGTGTGTGTGTGTGTGTTTGTAGCGCGTGCAGCTAGCTCCAATACATAATCATACGGTGGCCGTGACGCTTCGATCCGCAACACATCTGGATTAAAAATAGCACGGAGCAGCCAATGCGCTCCACGGCCGCTGTGCTGCAGGGACAGCCTACATTGTGCTGAAAATGTGTGTGTGTGTGTGTGTGTGTGTGTGTGTGTGTGAGGGGATGCGATGCTCCTGATGCTGCAGTCGCTCTGTGTGACTCACAGGTTGAACGTTGGCGGTGATGATCATACATGTCTCTAAATCGTGTAAACCGAGGCCTGCTGGGAACAGCACAGTGCACTGCTATCACTGGGAGCTACAGTCACACACTGGAGCTGGATTCTGTGACACCGAGAGACAAGACAGAAATCAGTGTTTAATCCCAGCCAATCATTATGGATTATCAGGCCTGAGTTCATTTATTCTGTCCCATGCGTGGCCCCTGTATGTGTGCTCATCCTGTCGGTGCAGTAGCTGAGGAGAGGGAGACACAGAAAGCTAGCCCAATAAAGAAATTCTCATTTGACTACTAATGAGATTTCTTTCACTAGTTGGTTGATAATTGACACACTCCCTGTCCCTATGCAGGAACACCCATACAAATGAAGATTCTAACTTTCCACTAATGAGCCGCTTGTTCCCCTTAAACACTTGATTGAATTTAAAGCTGCTCTGATCAATGTTTTTTCTATTAACAATTGTATCTAATGACTGTGCAATGTTGCAGGTACCAGGTAACACAGACTCATTTTGTGCCAGTATGGATGTGAAATAGGTATTAAATTGCACTCATAATGGTCTTCAAATGGTCTTTCAAAGTCCGAAATTGAATCTGTTGAAACCTGCAGAAATCCTGTGAATATTTCTCTGAGTCTGTTGGATGTGTAAATAGGAAGATGTTAGCCAACATGTCTGCCAAAACAAGGGTATAGGATGATAAAATGTCAATATTGTGTTTACAGCTTGTATATGTTGGTCTGCTGATGTCACTGTTGCACACTTTAAACCATAGAAGGAGGAACTGATGGGGAAAGTCGCCCTGTGCAGTGTTGGGTTGGAATAAAAACCAGTGTATGTGTTGCATTCGCTGACACGCGGCTGTTGTCCTTTGCATTATGACTGTGCAGTCAGTTTGTGATGTTATCTCCTCATTGCTTTTTGCAGCTCATCTATGAGAGCTTTGCCAGGTATCTGGTGGAGCATAAAGGCTATGACAAGGACCTGCTGAACCTAACCCCCGCTACCTGGGATTTCTGGTGAGTCAGCGGCAGCAGTTCCCCCAGCCTAGGGGGAACTAAAGAGGTATAATGAATACCTCATTATCTTTCAGGGATATTAAGACTGTATTCATCAAATACTTGTGGTTAAAAATGACTGTGACTCACAGTGTACTAACCTTCAGGAGCTGAAGGATTGCAAGCGTTCCTTGAGTCTGGCTTTTTCATTACAGTATTAGTTTTAGTTCAAGCTTTAAACACACAGAGACGTATTACTGAACATACTGGATGTAGGCTATATGTACACATGTATGCACACATATTCTATACAAGCAGCAGCAATTAACTTTAATACAAATATTGTCATATTCACTGAAACTTTCCCTATATCCTGACAGTAGAACATGAGACAGATAATGTGTGAAACAATCAGGTTCCTCTGGCTCCTCCTAGTGCTCCTAATGGAAGTATCCACCAGGTCTGAACAAAAACAGTCAGTCAGCTGGGCTCTTCTGGACAGCACCGGAAAACAAAACACACATAATGATATGTTGCTATGGCGATGTCATATTGTTTATAAAGGATGGAATAAAGATATTAAATAAAACTATTTTGTTATTATTATTTTATGTAATTTATTAATTATTATCGTTCCATTGTCCATGTTTGGTCCTTGTCTGAGGGAGCTACGTAACATTTTAAATACCGTTGCAGAGAACAGTATAAAGGTTTACCAGATTTCTCAGCTGGCCTCACCTAAGTTGACCGTGCTGCTCATGACCTCCAGTTTACCTCAGTCCATGTAAAGGCAGCGTAATTCATAACACTGTGTCTACAATACCTTGATATACAGATCTAAGTTCTTGCTTTTATGGAATGAAATACAAGAAAACTAGTATCTTATATATATAGTATAATTATAAAATGCAGTAACGTATACAATAAGTAATAAAGATGGTATATAAACAAGCTTTAGTCTACACTTTGATAGCTAGGTTTAGTTAGTTTTGACATGAAAAAGACCTACATAATACGTATACGTGGAGTATAAGATAGGTGAAGCGTTATCATTTGAGATTTAAGGTTGAATGAGTTTGAATGTAATTATTATCATAAAGTAATCCATTACACTTCTATAGAGCAAAAGCACATGTTGGGTGAAGGGCACACTCCCCCTAAAATATCCCCAAATACTGTAGGAATACTTAAGAGACAAAGACATGCAAAAACGAACTGTAAACTAGGGGTGTAAGAAAATATTTAAAATATCAATATTTTGTTTTGTAATATGATATTTGTTAAAAACAATGTATAGATTTTTGTGTTTAAACTAGGAATAAACCAATCTTTACCAACCAGTTGTTTTTCCTATTTAGGGCCAATACAGATACTGATTATTATTGAAAAAAATGAAGAAAACACATGTTGAACACATGAATGTATCATTAATTATAATCCAATCATATAGTATATATGATATTGAAATGGGCCATTCTGCACTTTTACTTTTTGTACTTTAAGTACATTTTGATGCTAATACTAGATTTAAGAATATATTGAATCGTAACCCCTGTATCGTGATCCCTATCTTATCACCAGATTCTTGCCAATACACAGCTCTATTGTAAACACGCAATTCCTTTATTGAGAGTTATGGTGCTGTTCAAGGTGCACAGTTCGGTGTCACTTACACCTGGCCACCCCTTCCTAAGGGCTTGCTGTGTCCCCCCTCCCCCAAATCATAGCAAATCCTAACTGACACCTAAGCCTTACTTTGTCACACTGCTTATAACTTGTATTGTCTGCTCGCCTGTAAGGGTGGATGTTTTCCCGTCCACACACAGCTTAAATCATCAGTTAAAGTCAGCCTTATCAATAAGAGCATGTACAAATAGTTTTGGAGTTGTTTGAAAGGCTTATTTCTTCAATTTCTTCTATTGTCAACCGAATTTTGATGGCAAACAAGTGTATTGCCAAAAATATTTATTTGATTTTTACATGTTATGTCAGCTAAAATAATCTGCAGTGGAAGTAAATGTCAACAGGCCTTGTTCATTCTGTTCATGCTGTGAATTTTGTGTCCAGTTTTAAAGGGCTAGTGGTGGATCTGGAAGATGGAAACCTTGTGAAGCTGGCTGAAGATGGAACTGTCCTGCGGTATGTCTTAGCTGCATGAAATGTATTTGAGTTGCCTCCCAGGACATCTCTTAAGTCCCTTTTGTCAAAGTTTTCTTTGTTTTCACAGGCCTTTAAAGTGAAATAATAAAAAGTAATAATAAAAGTTTTATTTCTGGCTTGATTAGAGCGACACATGGAACCAATGACCTCAGCACAGAAGAGATCATCAAACATTATGGTCCAAAGAGGGAGTGGAAGCACTTCAACAGCCTCAATACCTCCTTCACAAGATCTGGTAACATGTTTATATCCATCTTTATTACCTTTGCTGTTGGCTTTTAAGTTGGCTAATGTGCATTATTTGGAATTTTTCTCACATCATCCGTCACTAGATGTCACTAATTTACTTATCTTTTGTTTTGGTCTTTGCAGCAAAATACTATTTCTATGACAACTACTTTGATCTACCTGGGGCTCTCCTTTGTGGAAGAGTTGTGGACATGCTACATAAGGTAATGTTTGATAAGGTACAGTTTCATATTAGTGGTTGAGATGTTCGTATATTAATATATCACTTTCTGTTTTTGTGTATAGCGAGGAAATGAGGTGAATTCCGACTTTTGGAAAGACATGGTTGCTGCCATCGACCACAATTACAACACATCTGCATTCAAAGGTACGCCTTTTATTCCAAAGCAGCACACATCTGAGTTAATTGCTTATTCCTTGACTTCCATCCATACTGTAAAGAAGAACAACACACACACACACACACACACACACACACACACACACACACACACACACACACACACACACACAACACACTGGATATTTTTCTTTTTCAAACTAGAACTTTTATTCTGTGTTTTGGTCAGTAAGTGGTACATAACTTAACACATCCAATGGGACATAGTTGTTTTGAAAGAAGAAATGCAGTTTGAATTTCTCATTCTGTGTTGTTTTGCTGATCACAGTGCTTGTGAGAATGTGCTGATCTCTAATAACATATAGTACAACAGTTTTGCGTGTCTTTTTATGTATATTACAGGAAAATTCTTAAACAACAGACATTAATAAAAACAAACAAAAATAAAAGACATGCTGTAAATGTTACAGGCAGTTGTAAAGCACCACTTGAGATATCTTCCAATATTGTTTAATGTTTCTTAAAATTGCAAAGGCACACGGTGAACTAGGGAAAGGGATCAATTTCAACCATATATTCCAAAATTTTACTACGCATTGATACTTCTGTCAGTCGAGTAGTTTGTTAGCAAATTGAAGAAGTTTTCATTATTGTATTGATTCAAACGAGGCAGTTAAACTTATAAAAATGACAACCATATTTATATTTAATCTACAATCTCAATTTGGATTTTTGTAAACTGATCTATTTCTCTGAGTAATTCAATGTTTTGTAAGGTTTTGAGGTTTATTTGGATTTGTGAAATCACGTTGAGGCAATCAAGAACCCAGAGAAAGAGCAGTGAACATTATCTGCTGCGAATATACCATTACTCTCCTCATCAGGGACCTGAATATAGACTCTGTCACTGGGATGCAGCATAAGAACAGCACTGCCTGACATCTGATCCAGGAAGCCCTTGTTGTACTCATCATAGGTGAAAACAACTGGTTCCTCATTTTTGTAGAGGGCCACCAGTGCGTTGGCACCATTGACATGGATATGATAGCTGAAATAGTAGAGGCCTGGGATCTGGCAGGTAAACACACCACTTTGGGGGTCATAATGGTGCTCTCCATTGTACAGAACCTGGTTGAACTGAATAGGGCTTCCAGCTGGAGGGTAGGCTCTGGTCAGCACAGCACTGAAGGCAGACATGGGGGCCTTCATCATCTCATGAGACATCACAACCTCGTGGGACTTGATTGGCATGCTCTTCTCATGGTGGTAAACCACCTCTCCTGGTGGACCAGGTGGACCAGGAGGACCAGCGGGGCCTGGGAGACCATCGTGACCTCTAGTACCTGGAATTCCAGGTGGACCCTGAGGACCAGAAACTCCCTTAGCTGTCAATCCAGCTGGGCCAGGTGGGCCTGGAAGACCTGGATGGCCCTTAAACCCTTGGGGACCTGCTGGACCAGGGGGGCCAGATGGTCCCATGGGTCCTGGCCTTCCGCTCTCGCCACTTTTTCCTGGTGAGCCTGGCATGCCTGTGTGTCCTTTTAGTCCTGGGGCTCCATTTGAACCTGGAAGTCCTGGGGAACCAGTATGGCCTTGTGAACCCTTTGGACCCTGAGCACCATTATGACCTGAGACTCCTGCAGGACCTACTGCCCCAGGGGTACCTGGTTTTCCAGTGAAACCTTGAGCTCCCTGCTCACCTTTGGTTCCCCTTGGGCCTGGTGCACCTACCATACCAGTGTCGCCTTTGGGTCCTTGGGGGCCTGCCTCACCCTGGAATCCTCTTGCACCCTGTGGACCAGCTGGGCCAATGGGACCAGGAGCACCTGGTTGACCAGTAAAACCAGTTGGGCCGGGCTCTCCTTTCTGACCAGTGGTTCCTGAAGTACCGGGGGATCCCCTGCTACCTGGTATTCCTGGTTCACCTGTTTTGCCAACACCTGGCATGCCAGGGGAGCCGGGCTGACCAGCAGGACCCTGTGGACCTTTAGCCCCCATTGGTCCAGGCATACCTGGTGTACCATTCTGGCCTGGTTTCCCTGGTGCTCCTGTGCCTGGAGCCCCTGTGTGACCCTTTGCACCTGGCATACCCATTGCCCCAGGACTACCATCTCTGCCTGGCATGCCACTCTTGCCAGGTTCTCCAGGATAGCCAGGCGCACCAGGTTTACCAACTCCAGGTTTGCCTGGCATACCAGATGGGCCCATTGGTCCAACCTGGCCTGGTGGTCCTTGAACCCCAGGAACTCCAATACCTCTCTCTCCTTTTATGCCAGGAAGTCCAGGAATACCAGGATGTCCCTTCAAACCGGCCTCTCCTCTTGGTCCCATTGCCCCAGGGAAACCAGCAGGTCCAGGTTTTCCAACAGAAGAAAGTCCAGCAGGTCCAGGTGTTCCAGGTGTACCAGGTGCACCTCTGGGACCCATTTGTCCACCCGGGCCAGGAGGACCTCTCTCACCTGGGATACCAGGGACACCTGGTTTTCCATTGCCACCTGGGGAACCAGGTTTACCTGCTTGAGAGTAGCCAGGGGGTCCGGGTGGTCCTGCTGGGCCTTGTGGTCCAGTGTGTCCAACACCACTCTTTCCAGGAGGTCCAGGTGGTCCCATTGGTCCTGGCTCACCTGGAGGACCTTGAGGACCGGGGTGGCCTTCAACAGCTAGGGAATACATAAATACAGGTGATAAGTATTCAGGTAATAGGATGCACATCATAATGGGTTAGATCACTTTGGTTTAGATAGAGATTTATAGTGGCATGTAGTAACCTGTCTGAACTGAAAACTTGTACTGAATGATGAACTTTAATGTAAAAAGGGTACTGCACAGTATTCCAATGATGTTGTAGATGGATATAGAAAATACACATACCAGCACACAATTTCCTTATTTCTCCCCAAGGTAATGAAAAACTGAAATGGAGTCTAAACGATCAAGAGATTGCTTCATTTTGAAGATTGTCTCTCCACATTCTTTAAATCCTTGTGCATTTTCAGTGCATTAAGTAAGATACTTCCTTGGTCCTTAGGTTAAACCCAAGGTTTGGTATTCTCCAAAAGACCACAACCTGACTTAAACGACTACTCCCTATGATTGTAGGGCGGTTATGGGGACAGCACACCCTTTTCCCCAGGATTGTCTTCACAGTACCACTGGTATGAGGTGATGTTCTCACCAAGCTAATGTCTGCTGGCATGGGACCCAGGACACCAGCTTCTGTGCATCTCAGTTCCTTTTGCCCACACTATACTGCACCCTTTAATTTCCTGCCCTGGTCATGGCTTTAAATGTATAGTTAGTGGTCTGCAAGTTGTCAGCATCACCTTGATGCATTTTCTGCCACATAGAGTAGATTTTATGGGCAAGGTCAAATCAGTGCATATGCTCTAAATTTGTCAGTTTGTTATTTTACTGGAGGGTATTTCTCACTCATCTATATTTATCACTAAAGTCAACATACAAATAAACTTAAAGCCAACATGTGGCAGTGGAGACATTGTTTTTTAACTTGCTTTTTTTAGTATCATTTTTTTATTTTTATGCTATTTATTGATTTAACAGACGAGAGATGACAGCAAATGAGGGGTTTTATTTGTGACTGCTTACAAAAAGGAAAATGAATGTTGTAATTTTATGTATTCTGCTAGTTAAGTTACAGCTAATTTACATAGTGCAAACGTGACATTGAATGTGTCTTTAAATTCTATGTAATAAGTCACAATGGAAAATGTAAACATTATATTTCCAAGCATACGTATATATGAATGGGTAACTATATTAAGAATATAGGTACCATTTAAGTATTGCAATAAAAGGAATAAACAACTATCAGGGCTTTAAGAGTAAAAAGGCTTGAACAGTAGAGTCCAGGAACTATCCTAATTTCTGAACTGTGCACAAGGAGCATCTCTGATAAAATTGCTGTCACACTGCTTATCCTTTATACACTGTAATTCTGGATGCATCATTGCCAAAAGAGAACTATGACCTGTCAAAGAATCAAATCCAATAGTGCTGGCCTCTCTTTTCAGATGTTTGGTGTGTTTTGAGACAATGTTTTGACAGGGCTGTCATTTTCAAGCCACATAAAGCCATGCCTGAAACCCCACAGGGGATATTTGTGCCAGAACTGGACTTTTTGGCAGCCAGAAACACCACAAAGTGGAGGTGATGATATTGGCCAACAGTAGCTGACCCGGGAGCTGAACCACGTGTGACCTGTTAACACTGCAAAGTACTATTCTGCTTGGATTCAATTTAGTACTTATATCCATCCTCAGTTTGGTTGCCTTCACTATATGTTTATTCTGTAGTTTTTTTCATCCTCTGTAGTGGAAAAACTATAGAGTGAAGCTTCACTAAATTTGCTGTGTTTTTTTTGTTAGATTTACAGTTCAAAAGCATTTCTCTGCATTCTGTGTTGCTTTTTTGTTTTGTTTTTTCATTCTAATTGTGCAATGTTATTTTAATACCACAAAGCAGTATGTTAGGGCGTGCCCGCAACGTGGTAACAACATCTGTTTTGGAGATTCGTCAAATTTGAGCTCTCTTTGTCGACTTTACCATTCTATTTATATGTGGAGGCACACAGTGAAACCACATCAGAACCTCTTCAAAACAAAACTGGAGGAAAACAGAAACCTTAACTATCAAATGCAGAATTTGAATCATTGTTTAGTTGGGATATAAAGTATAGTGTCATACATCATCCTGGCAGTTACATCATGACCACTGCTTTGGGTTTTTTTTTTATGACACATGCAAAAGTGACTGTTGCCTTCTTAAACCTTTATTTATTGAGAACGCAAGTGCTCTTTTACACCCCACCTCACAGTTATATACAGTTATACACATTCACAGCAGTTCGGCCAGTTCAACCACAGCCCTCTGCTCTGAGCCAATGAGACGTTGCGCAGGACCTGCTGGGTGTGCACCTTGAGGCTAGTTAATGGCGGCGTTTGGGGCAGCCTCATTACTGATATGTATGAGCCGACAGTCTGCCGGGTTGCAATAAGAGGTCAGGGTAC